CGATAGGATGGCGATTGGCGCGTGTTTCTCCTTGGGAGGTCTCTCCGGTGAGGAATTGGGAATCGCAGAAACATCCCCGGATCTGTTCCGCGCGGATATCTTCTGCTCCATAAGAGAAGGATCAAGCTTGAAGGTCGGATTCGGTTTGGATAGGAGCACGTGCGTCAGGGGAATGTGCAGCACAGTCCATGAGTTATCCATCCCGATCGCTTCGGGCGGCCTTATGTCCGTATAATCCACAGGAGCAGAGGCAGGATTGAAAGAGTCCTCGTCCACCATGGCGTCGGTGAAGAACGGGTTCTCATTAGGATCAGCCCGCACCGCAGGCGAGGGGGCTGGGGACTGCGACCAGGGTGATGGTGGAGTTTGCTCATATTCCTCGTAGCGTGGGTTGGCTGCTTTTGGCCTGTCTTCATCCATCCGGGACCCAGCACCAGACCCCTTCTTGTCCAACCCGACTTTGGGAGCTCTGTTCACGGCTGGCGAGAAGGTGGTGGCGCTACTGAGAAGCGACGAAAGCTTGGAGGCAGAATCAGACCGAGGCCTTCTCCCGGATTTGCGGGTACCCTCGGGGGATTTTGGCCGGGCGGGTGTTTTGGGCTCTGGCACTTTGTACTCTGCTGACCCTGGAGCAAGATAGGGGTAGTTCCTCGTGAGCGCTACAACCCGGCCACGCTCTAATACCCGCATTACCCCATTATGATCGATCAACGGGTCGGCCTCGTAGTCAAGCGCTTGCAGGACATTCAAGATTTTGCCATTCCCCTTTCTCGGCGCTGTAATGGGCGCCTCCCAGCTTGGAATATCCTGTTGCTGTTGTTCCTCCAATGCATCGTGTTCCTCCAGAGCCTGCCGGTTCAGAGCAGTGGTGTTGTGGTCGTCAAGATCGTCATGAACTTCGAGTGTGGGAGCCGCATGACTTGTTTTGCTCCTAGAAAGAAAATGAGGTCGTCGAGAGGCAGCCTGGGGCGCTCGTTCGTTGGCCGCAGTGCGTGCTTCCTTTCTGTCCTCGTACGAAGTGTAGGAATGCCTGCTTTGCAACCCCGGGCGGGCCGGCGGTTGCTGCTGTTGTGTCGGTGACTCTGGAGGATGGGAAAGGCCTTCGGAAAGATCGTCGACACTGCTCGGCATAAGACTCGACCCCTTGGCGAGATAACCCAGGCTTAAAACATCCTCCCTGTGAGCATTGTAAGTCGCCTTTTGGCCCCATGGAACGTTTTCAATATCGGTTGAATCTGCTGGAACAGCCAGTGTGACCCTTTCAGCCTTGTACACATCAACCATGATCTGCACCACCGTGTTCCACCACGCATCCAGTCCCGGTTCCGCGGCAAGCATCAATGTTAGGTCATAAAGGTTAGGACTTGGGAACTCATACTGCTCTCCCGTAGACTGGGAATATCCCGGGGGCAGAAACGTGGTGGCCGACGCCGGGGTGGATGGGTTCGAAAGAAAGCTGTCCTGGCCTTTGAAGATATCAAAACCATGCTGGGGACCTTTGGGCGGCACGGTTGGCGAGAGCGTCGTGAACGGCCGGTGTATCGATGGTGGTATCATACTTGGAGGAGCCATGCGAGGAAACGGATAGGAAGGCGTGCCGGTCACCGGGCCGGGTGTAAATCCTCCTCGAACGGTATTACCGGACTCGGTAGACGATGTCAGGGTGGCGTCTGAGCCGGACGAATGGAACATTGCTGGTGGTGAGATCTCCTCCTGAATAGGAGAGACGCGAACGGGTCCAGGCATGGCGAGAGCCTCACCTCTCAAAGGAGCCTCTCGTCTCTCGATATGTCGAGCTAGATTTTCCCGGTACTCGTCCAACTTCCGCTGAGCGTCCCTCGGCTCCGCCTGACCACCGAGCTTTCCTGCCCTACCCTGCTTAACCTGTGCAGGACCAATCTCATTTCTTGGCGTGGTGTCGTTATCGCGCGGCCTGGGTGGACTGGTTGGTGATACTCCTTGTTGTGATTCGTCCACTCGGTCATATCTCTCCTTGAACTTTAACGCTTTGTTTCCCAGGTTCTGAGAAAGCGGATCAGGGGTGGCAGATGGCTGGAACCCTCTGCTGCTCCCCAGATCCCCCGTCATTTGTTGTTGTAGTTTTGCAATCAGCGACACAGTCCCACGCAAGATTGTACCACCATCACTATCGTCAGCTTCACTGGAATCAGCAACACCACTCCTGGTCACAGCAGTCTCTTCAGCAGCAGCGACACCCGTGATATCTGGTGGGATTGTCGTCGTTGTTGTCGTTGTTGGCGTCGTAGTCGTTGTGGGAGGATTCGACCTTGTCCTCTTCAGCTCAGCCGCCTTCTTGGATCGTCGTGAGGCAGATTTTACCCTGGCTTGTCGTGGTTTGTGACCTCTCCTTCGCATTCCCTCATTCAGGCTGATGATGCGGTTGCCTCCTGGGAGCTAAAAAATCCCAGCAGTGACGTCGACGGTAGTATAGGCGGCCGCGCAGGCTCGGGTCGGCAGTCGTACATGCATCCGCTGTGGGAGCCCTCGACGAGATAAAAGAGCAACCTTCCTTTCTCCTCCCCTAGCACATCAAAAACATGAGACGAAAATGGGCCACAAGTGAAGTCAAAGCAATGGCTGGGCTGCGTGTGATGATGGATGGGTCTGAGCAGAGGCTGAAACGGGCGGCGGTTGTCCTGGTCTGGTCTGTCTGGGGAATTAGACTGGCAAAAACCTTGGAAGGGGGGATCGTGGTGTCGGGTTCGAGAGAGAGAGAGAGAGAGAGAGAGTGTGTGTGTGTGTGTTGTGTGTGATGACTGAGTTTGGTTTGGTTTGGTTTGGTGTGTGCGTGTGCGTAGAGGTGGGTGGAATTCGAAATTGGGAATCAGGAAGCGCGCGTCGCCCGGTGGGTGGGTTTAGAAGTTGGCAGCAAACACCCCAGTGGCCCGAAAGGGGACTATGACGTTATGCTGCTGGTCAAGGCGGCGGCGACATGCGAGACGACGCGAACCCTTGCGAGACGCCCTGACTGCCGGGACTGACAGATTGATGACCTCTCCGATACAGATTACACTACGTATCTTACCGATAACTACACTTGCCCGTTGGATACGGACTGAGTGGCTCTGGCTTTTCTCTCAACAACTGATGCCTTTTCACAAGATATGGAGGCAGTGTGTGGGAGCATTGGGTCGTGTTGCACATCACATTTATTAAAGCTGGCCGGTGGGTAACAGGGCCCTCGCAGGGAGGATGGCGCTTCGTGCCTTGCTTTCACTTGCTCGGTGCCACTGCCCATGTCGCTTCCTCGGCCAGGTGTCCGCTGCCGCCGTGGTTATGTATATGGGGGTCCTTTTCCCCCCCCCCCCCAACCCCTCTCTCCCCTCCCATCCGATGGACGGGATGCCATATTGACTCGATCAGGGTCCAATAATGCATTGACAAGACGTGGCTGACGGGTCCTATACAATGAGCTGGCCAGACTACTGGGACCAATCTGACAAAGTGAGGCCATTTCGGACTTCCACGGGCCTCCAGAGGCTGCAAGAAATACGCGCGCTCGGGGATGCGATTGGACAGGTGTCGAGGTTGATGATGTCGCTTCCAGTGGAATTTGGCATTTCAGCTGGCATTTTCTGGGGAAACTAGGACGAACGCAGCAGCAGGCATAGCACAACAGCACAACAGCGCACAGCAAAGGGTACAGCACACATTACTCCGTACACCACAGCAAACGGCACAAGTCACTCTTACAGGAAGGAAGGAAGGCTTCTGCAGAATGCAGCTCCGTCCCGTCGGCGACCATGGCTTGCTCCCCGATCCTACGCAGTACAAAGTACGCAGTTACGCACCCCACCTCGCATGCCCCCTCCCTCAATCTCACCACTACGTACCAACCTCCCACCGCCTCGAGTCGATATCCCGGAGCTTCCATATTGGGCCGACTCCCCGGCTCTTACAAGCTTTAAAAAGGTACAAAAGATCGACTGAACTATGCAAGGAATTATCGAACCAAATCGTGATTGCAATCGTCGATGGTGCTTGATAAGTGGCCGCACGGACGGTTATGACCGAGTGACCCAAAACCCAAAATCCCCCGGTCCCGTACCTTCTCCAAGATGGGAAATTTTCTTTTGGGCTGATTTTTTGATCCCGCTGATGACCCATGGAAGATATCCATATCGGATCCCCCAGTGGAACATTACGTCAACGGCGCCAGGGATAACCGATGAGAGGGCGGGGCAACCATGCGCTGCAAGGGCGCGGCCGGCCTGATTCGTCGGTTTGGGTACAAGCCTCACACCATGCTGAGACACGTCTTTCGCACAGGCCTGCAGTTGTGCCTGACCACCTCTCACTTTTTTATATTTCAGAAAACCTCGCTGCCTCGTTCGCAGGAAAATCGGCAGCCCGGCAGCCTCAGCGGGCGTTTGAACCGGGAGATTGCTTGGCCATCTCCCGATCGATTGGATCCACCGATCTGATGACCGACGTCGGGGAATGCTTACATAGTGACGGGTGGTGGTGTGAGGTGGTGGTGGTGAAGAATTTTGCAATATATCAACACAGCCTCACGTGGACGGGACCATGATCCGACAATTCGTCATCATCATATCCATGCCGAACCACGGAGACCTGCGTCGAAGACCTCTAATGAACCAGCATGTCTCGTACCGGTGAGGTTGTGATTAAAAAAGTGTCTCATTCAAAATAAAAACTAGGAAAATCCATCGGTCATTTTCCTGGCCGGTGGGGGCCAAGACCCGTTGGTGCTGCGCTGCACTATCTACCGTCCGGATCTGAGCCGGATAATTCTAACGGAGCCGGAGGTGTGGGTCGCCATTCTGGCAGCGCCCGCAGCCGATAGGCCCCACTATTTTCGGAACCATATTTTACGTTTCCATTGGTCACGTCATTTTCATGCTGCCCCACTGAATCTGCGAGGCTGCTGCGGGTTCCTGAACTTCTCAAGTAACCTTCGACAGCCTCGCCGTCCCATCTCCAACTGCTCAACATACAAACTTATCACGAACCCCACGATGGCCGACTCCGACGACGAATATGTCGGGGACCTCTCTGGTGACGATGCCGGAGTCGACAGCGTCTACGGTACACGATCGAAAGATGGCGGAAAAGGAAAAGGTGGCCAGAAGGGCAAGGGAACCCGCAAAGCAGCCTGGGAAGAAGTCCACCGAGCCTGGGACGAGGTTGCCATTGCCGAAGATGGCAGCATCACAGTGGCCGAGTTGATCGAGGCCGAGAAACGCCGGCGGTTGATGCGGGATACCACACCGATCCAGCGTGGAATAATACGGCACATGGTGTTGGTGTTGGACATGAGCATCGCGATGGCAGAGAAGGACCTGCTTCCGAACCGCTTCGCCCTCACCTTCTCCTACGCTATGGAATTTGTGAACACATTCTTTCAGCAGAATCCAATCAGTCAGCTGGGGATCATCGGGATGCGCGATGGTATTGCCGTCAGGATCAGCGACATGAGTGGGAACCCAGTCGAGCACATTGAGAAGCTGAGGCAGTGGGCGCTTAAGGACCCTATTGGGAACCCAAGTCTTCAAAATGCCCTCGAAATGTGTCGAGGTCACTTATAGTAAACTGCCCCCCCCCCACCTCTTTGTCTGGTTTATGACAACCACAGCTGACCATTCATTCCCTTCCTCATAGCCACACCCCCTCCCACGGCACCCGCGAAGTCCTCATCATCTACGGCGCCCTCCTCTCCTCGGACCCAGGCGACATCTCCGACACCATCACCTCCCTCATCGCCGACCGCATCCGCGTCTCCATCATCGGCCTCGCCGCCCAGGTAGCCATCTGCGCCGAGCTCTGCGCCCGCACAAACGACAACGACGACTCCCAATACCGCATCGCCCTCCACGAGCAGCACTTTCGCGAGCTCTTCCTCGCCGCCACGACACCCCCCGTCACCCACGAGGCAGAGCAATCAAACGCCTCCCTCCTCATGATGGGCTTCCCCTCCCGCTCCCTCGCATCAAAAGATTTTGTCTCCCTCTGCGCCTGCCACAACAAACCAACAAGAGAAGGGTACACCTGCACGAGGTGTAGAATCAAAGTCTGCCGGTTACCCGCGTCTTGTCCCGTTTGCGGGCTGACGCTGATATTGTCGATTCACCTGGCGAGATCGTATCACCACCTTTTTCCCCTCAAATCATGGGTGGCGGTTCCGTGGACAGAAGCAAAGAAGTCGGTGGCGTGTTTTTCCTGCCAGACGCCCTTCCCGCCTGTCCCGAAGGCTGCGCCGCCAAAGATCAAGTTGAAGGTGAAGGAGTCTTCCGGTGTTGGGGGGCAGACAGCAGCCAATATCGCCAAGGCAAAAGGCAGAGGGGAGGTGCCTGCAAAGACGAATACTGTAACGGCACCGACGCCAGGGTTGTTGCCAGAGGCGATCAAGGCCGGGGTGAGCGAGAGCGGGAGGTATAAATGTCCAGAGTGTGAGGAGCATTTTTGCATTGATTGCGATATTTATGCCCACGAGACGATTCATAATTGTCCGGGGTGTTTGGCGAGGCTGGTGAAGAGTCAGCAGCAACAACAGGAGGAAGTAGTAGGGGCAGGGGAGGCGATGGAGGTGGATTCATGATTATTAACAGGACATTGAACTGAGAGCGTCAAACGGGCATAAATGGTAATTAGCGATTTGTTTATATTGGTTTTTGAAACGGCGTATCTGGTGGTTATTGGAAACAGGACAACAAAGCTATGGGGTCGGGTTAGCGAGTGAAGATGGGAGTTTGGAGACTCATGCAGGGATCAAAAGCAGAGATACTAATCATCATGAACTGAAGTGAGAATGATGGGTATCTGATGCTCATGTGGTCATCAACAGGGTGATATATAACTCGCAGATATGTAACTTCTTCAACCATCCAGCCGACCGTAACTCCAACGCCATTCATCCATGCAAGGCGTTTTGCGCGCGTGCATATCAAGGCCAAAAATCAACCCTACCCAGAAAACGCCATTCTACAAGAGTCTGCCCCCGTTCAAGCAGCAACCGCCTCCCTCCTCTCAGCAACCGGTTTCTTGACCCCCTCCTGCCTCTGCTCTCCAGCAGGCAACTCCGTCCCCGGCACATCAGGCAACCCCCCCTCCACCACCACCCTACTAGGAGTCTCCTCCTCCTTCTTCTTTGGTTCTCCCAACTCCCTCTCCAACGCAGCCAACTCCTCCTCCACCTCCTCCTCATCCTGGACACTGATCCTGCCCCCCAACATCTCGCTCACCTCCCTCTGGTACTCGACCTCCTCCGCCGTCTCCCCCATCAGTTTTTCCACCTTGTCGATCCCGCCCATCTCGGCGTGGATTTCTTTGAGGACTTTTGTCCCCTGCTGCAGCCCAAAGACGACGTCTTTTTGGATGAGTGCGAATTCTACAGAAGATACCAATTTTTCTAGTTGCTCGAGTTGCTGGTCGGTTTTGGCGAGGAGGGATTCTTGGTATTTCTTTCGGCGGAGGGCGAGGAGGGCGCGGGGACGGTTGTTTTGGGCGAGGAGGGCGCGGGCGATTTCGGTTTCCCGGGAGGTGAGAAGGGTTATGCGGCGTTGGTATTGGTGGAGGCGGTCGCGTTGGAGTTTGAGGTCGTAGATTGCTCTGTGGGGGAGGGTTAGCGAGTAGATGCGGGAGTGGGAGGGGGTGGAGGGGACGTACTGGTCTTGGGCTGTTATCTTGCTCGAGTTGCCGCCCATTGTGTCTACTATGGAGGTGTGTGAGGGGGTTAGAAGAGGCTATAGTGATGGCGGCAATTATAGGCGGAAAAGGGCTGCCCAGCAGCGATTGAAACTATCGAAGTGTGTTGTGCTCAAGAATCAAGAATGCGATACTAAACAACGAATGCGGTTGCTTGGTTGCGTGCGCTCTGAAGGTAAGACGTCACTGGCGATTGCTTATCGGCGGCGATCAAGTCTGGGGTACAGAGGAGTCGGCTCTTGGCAGCGAGATGGCAGCTCGTGGAGGTAGGGATCGAGGTGTTTGAGACTACACTAACGTCTTGTCGCTATGTGTCAAAACTAGAAAGCGAGTTCAACAGCTTGTTTACAATAAACTAATGCCAAACATAGACGCGATGAGGTAAAGCTCAAATGTACATGGTGACTTTGCAGAGGAGGGAAGGCTTATCGATAACGTCGTCAACCCGTGTGGCTCAGGTGGGTCGCATGAGGGGCTACGTAATCTCGCTGGCCACCCCCCCAGAGCTCACATGCGACAGCATTCCAAGGGGCCAACTCCCCTGATTCTGGCAATTACAAGAAATTGGGCAGAAATAACTTCCTTGTTCCTCGTCAAGTCTCAGCAAGAACCGAAGTTTTGAAGGACGCTTCTCGTCTCGAGATACACCCACTCGCTCACAACCGGAACCATGTCTGCTCCAACCGACGCTGTAAGTGATACGCCGCATTCTCCCAGGGACGGGAGCTCAAAAACGTCCATATCCATGAAACACTTACCCCGGGTGGCTTCATACCTCCTTCTTTCCTCGTCTCTCCAAAAGCTTCTTCTAACTATCTACCCGTTCAAGAACAAGGTCCCGCCACAACCGGAATCGCCCACCACCGCAAGACCCCTCGAGATGGACGACGACGATATTCAAGAGGCCGGCATCATCAACAACGACGACAACACCACCACCACCACCACCAGAAATGTCACCACCACTTCAGCCTCAGCAACCTCCCCCGTCGGCGAGGTCCCTCCCCCGCAGCCACCCCGGCCCGCCGTGAACGAGACGCAGCAGAACCAGCAGATGCTCAAGGAGGCCTTCCCCACCATCGACATGGCCGTCATCAAGGCGGTCCTAACAGCCAGCCGAGGGCAGATCGAGCCGGCGTTTAATGCACTCCTCGAAATGACGGACCCTGACGCCGTTGCCCAGAACGAGCAACCCCCTCCCCAGCCCCCGAGGCCCGTCGCTGCCGCTCACGGACCTACCACCACGGCCCAGGAACAGCTCGAGGCAGATGAGAGATATGCCCGGCAGCTAGCGGAGCACTTTGAGAATGTCGGTGCCTACGAGGCCAGGACGGCGAACAGAGGGGGTGAGAGAGGTGGCCACCCCGGTCGGGGTGGGGGTCCGGTGCCCCGCGGAAGGCAGCAGACTGGTCTGCGCCCAAGCCAGGATGAGCGGGAGCATAGTTTTCTTGATGACGATCTTCCCGTCATCAAGGAGCAGTTGAAGAAGGGGTTTTTGGAGACGCAGACCAAGGTCAACACGTGGTTTACGGACTTCAAGAAGAAGATTGATGAGCATTTTGATGAGCAGGAGGAGGAGCGCCGGCGGGCGGAGGGGAGCGCTGGCAGCAGCAGCAATCCGCTTGCCGGGGGGAGGCCCACTAGGGATCAGAACCAGACGCGGAGGAGTGCGGATTATGATCGGTATGATGCTGATCCGGAGCTGTTGAGTGATGATTTTGCGGGGATGAAGTTTCACAGCGACGGCAGTAAGTTTATTCTACGGGATTAATCGTGGTCTTGCAATGAGGACACTGACGCATGCTACAGCCCCTGTTCAGAACCAGAGACAGTTTGGCAGCAACGCCAATGTGTTCAGACCACCCCCGCCTTCCAAGTCGCCCCGGTCTCATGAGGGCAGGAAAGTGGCGTTTAGTGACAAGGTGGAGGACATTGACGCTTACAATGCCTCCCCCAAGGTGAAGGCCCAGGATGCGGCGGCGGCACCGGGTGGGAGCAAGCCGAGCAAGTGGCAGCCTCTCTCTGCTGTTGAGCCTAACCCGATTGCGGACAATGACCCCTTTAGTCTGGGGGATAGCGACGACGAGAGAGAGGTCAAGGACAAGAAGGAGATTAAGCTGGAGGACAGTGAAAGGCTGAGGCAGGCGACGGCTGATGCCATGGCTGACAGTCTGGTGGATGATAAGACCAAGGCTGGGAGCGGGAGCAAATAGGTGTACGGAGTAGGGATGATTAGGTAGTTTGGAGTTGGGAAGCTGGGAAGTTGGAAAGTTTAATTTTCATGTCATTCTAAGTCTTGGCTACAACAGCTCACCGTGTCAACATTGTTCTCTGTACTGAATGTATGGTATGGTAATTCAATACCTGCCAAAACGCTTCAACAAGCATTGCCCCTCGTTTTGACATGCCCCTCACCTGCAGGTTTGCCCCCGCACTCGACTGGAGCTGTTTCCACGCGAGCTTTCCCTTGCCCATTTTTTGTTGCATCAGCCTTGCAACGACAACCGGATGCAAGCACATGGCGAGATGGAAGCTTCTCATTGGTTCGTGCTGGAGGTTCATTGAACATGAAGAGTTACCTTGGAGTGGTGACCACGCACGCGAGAGGATTTTTTTTTTCTTCAGAGAATCGGAGAGATCATATGACAAGAGATGTGGAAGGCCAGTTTGGGAATGCCGTTGATGTCTCGGACATCTCGTATCAGACGGAGCTCCAGGTTCATCTTCCGATGGCAGCTATGACAGCTCAGCTCTGCAGCTCAGCTTTGCAGCTCAGTATCTTCTCTCTGAATATATGTATGTAGGTAGCTAGTTTATCTATATGGTCTTATTAGTCAAAACATTGTCTTCAGGGTCCCTGACTCGTGGGAGACAGTAGGAGAGGGTTTTGTGTACCTTTATGCAACTGTCTGACGACCCAAGCCAACACGAAGACATTTGCCCGGGACCCTGGGAATGGGAATGAGGGGAGAGGATAAACCTTTGATCTGGTACTCGTTAGTAGACGATACGGAGGATTCCGCCTGTGGTTGTGGTTGTTGTTGTTGTTGTTGTTGGACGATACCCGATCTGCCGGGGCGTGAAAGAGACGTGCTAGGCGGATCTTGGCACCCCGATTCCAGCGCCCCCGAAACCCCCTGTGACCGAGATCCGGCACGCCCACGCCCCCCCCTAATAACCGATTGACGGCCCGCCCGTTCTTAACTACAACTACACTTTGTCTTTCTTCCTCCCACTTCAACCTGCTGTGGTACCTAGTAACCAGCAGCCAAAACCCAAACTTGGCAAAACTTTATCTTCGTCACAGGGGCCATAAACCGGTATTTTGGACTCAGCGAGACGAGACAGCAAAAAACTTGCAGAAAAGGGAAAGTGTCTTTATATCAGACTGGTCCATCCCACCACAACTACAGGGAGCCCAGCCAGTCCGCCGCCCAACGTCTTTCTCAGCTGCTATTACTACCTAGGTAGGTTATCAAAAACGACACCACCACACACACCCCCGGCCCACCATCCACCCCTTGTCCTCACCAACACCGGATCTTATTCCCCATATCGTTGCTTAGACGAGCAACAACTCCTCACTTTTGTTTTTTCTGAGATCGCGTGCGGGTTGGGTTTTGTCTCTATAAGAAAGTTTCCCCGGAGTTCTTATTTTTTGGGGCATTGCAAAAAAGACTGAGACGGGAAGTCTGTTGGGTTGGTTGGGGTCACACATACACACACCACACTCACCACCACCGTCCACCTTGATTCTCACAAAGAGGTTTTTCAAAAGCCTCAAGTCAGAAACAACAACGAACAAGATGAAATTCGGGAAACAGATTCAAAAACGGCAGCTCGAGGTGCCCGAATATGCCGCCAGTTTTACGAATTACAAGGCACTCAAGAAGGTATTCCTCACTCGGTCTTACTGTTGAGATTTGGACATGACTGACGTGAGTTATAGCTCATCAAAAAACTCTCGGCAACACCAGTCCTCCAGTCTCAGAATGGCGCCACCGGCGTTCAGGCAACCGGCTTTTGTGCTGCCACACCGGGCAGCATCAGCGGCGGGCTGGAGCACCTCGACTCGCAAGCCGCCCTCCAAGCCAACAAGGCCACATTCTTTTTTCAACTGGTAAAGCTCACCACCCTTTTCCCTACATATTGCCCCCGCCCTCCAGAAGCTGAGTCCGAGTCTAGGAAAGAGAACTAGAAAAAGTCAACGCCTTCTACCTCCAAAAAGAAGCCGAGCTCAAGATCCGGCTCAAGACGCTCCTCGACAAGAAAAAGGTTCTCCAGTCCCGCCATCAGCAGGGCGGGGGGAACAACCTGTCCCGGCGCTCGGCAAAGTTCACCACCCTGCAGGAAGGTTTTCAACAATTCGCCAACGACCTCAACAAGCTCCAGCAGTTTGTCGAGATCAACGGGACAGCCTTTTCCAAGATTCTGAAGAAGTGGGACAAGACGAGCAAGTCCAAGACCAAGGAGCTGTATCTGAGCCGGGCGGTGGAGGTGCAGCCTTTTTTCAACGCGACGGTGATCAGTGAGCTGAGTGATCAGGCCACGACGAGCCTGCAGGAGCTGGGGGCGTGGGCGGATGGGGAGAATTTGAGCTTTCAGGAGACGGGGACGACCGCAGGGCATATTGTCAGTAGTCAGCATCTGCTTGGGACGGACGAGGGGGATGCGGACACGCTGCTGCTTGATACGGTGCTGAGTGGGAATTTGGAGGGGTTGAGGGATTTGCTCGGGCGGATGAGGGCTGCTGGTGGGGACGAGAGACAGCAGCAGCAGCAGAACATGGTCATGATGGAGCGGGTGACTAGGACTTTTCTCGCGAGCATCAATGAGGGTCCGTTGGAGGCGCTGCATGTGCTGTTGGAGACGGGGTTGGTGGATATTCAGAGCGAGGATGATATCAACGAGAGGAATTGTCTGCATCAGGCGGCGATATATGGGAACGGGTTTGTGCTGGAGTATGGGCTTGCTAAGGGGGTGGCGGTGGACCGGACGGATGTTTATGGGCGGGTGCCGTTGCATTATGCGAGCATTCATGGGAGGCTGGATATGCTGGACAAGTTGCTCGCGGGGGCGCCAGAGACGATCAACTTGATTGATCATGACAACTATACGCCGCTGATTCACGCGATCGTGCATGGGCATCTGGAGTGTGTGGGGAGGCTATTGGAGAGGGAGGCGAGGTTGGATCCGGTGTCGGACACGGATCATGTGCCGTTGAATCTGGCTTGTGAGCATGGGTCCTTGGCTGTTGCCGAGCTGTTGCTGAAGCACGGGGCGAGGATATTGGCTGATGCCGAGGGGCTTTACCCTCAGCATTTGGTGGCTAGGTCGGGCCAGACGCCCGAGTTGTTGCTGCTGCTCCAGAACTACGGGGCGGATTTGGACCAGATTGACAAGCTGTATGGCTGGACACCGTTGGTACACGCGGCGAGCGAAGGGAACGTTCCTTGTCTTCAGGCACTGCTGAATGTGGGCGCCGACCCAAACATTCTGGACGAAAAGGACCTTCCGGCAATGTACTATGCAGCCTGGGAGGGTCATCTGGAGTGCATGAAGCTCCTCACGCCGCTCAGCAAAGACAAGACGTCCAGCCCACTGGCACGGCAAGTAGCGGCCCCCTTGGCCCCCATGGCCAGCAGCAGCGCCCCCATCCCCATGTCTCTCGACGTGGACGCCATCCCGGTCCTCGAGCTCCCACCGCCAATCATCCCACTACGCCGCTACGGCCACAACTTCCTCGACAACAAAACCGTCGTCCAAATCAACTTTGACGGCGACCAGCCCCTCGTCTTCTTCCACGACAGCAAATACCCCGCCGCCCGCCTCACCATCTCCTCCAAGGTTTCGGATGTCATCCCCAAGAACATCATGCTCCCCTTCCAAGAAGACACCCGGCTCGTCTCTTTTCAGATTGACAACCTCGACTCTTTCACCCTAGACTTTGACGTCTTCCCGGCCTACGGCGCAAAGGTCATCGCCAAAACCGTCGCCCTCCCCAACACATTCCGCGCCTTGCTAAACTCCAACTCGGGCAGCTGCTGCCTCCCTCTCTTCGACCCCCGCCTCCGCGCGATCGGGCAAATCAGCTTCCACGCCCAGGTCATCAAGCCCTTCCAAGGAAAACCCCTCGAGATAACCGACTTTGAGACCTACTGGAAGGCAACCTCCCAATTCGACACCCCCTCCATGCCCGCCACCACCCCGGCCATGCCCAACACCACCTTTGTCACCGGGTCCTCTCTAACCGGCGACTTTGTCCGGATTTATGTCCAGCACACCTCAGATGGCATCCCGGTCCTCTGGCCCCAATGGACGGTCCCTTGCACTGCGGGGATTGACATCCCCGTGTCGAGGTTAACACTCTCCCAGTTCGGGACTGTAACCGGCCCTTCTCTTGCCGCCGCACTACCAGACGACATCCCCTCTGTCCACAAAATCCTCGCCTCGGCAGGGGGAACAACACTTCACGAGGCGTTGTCTCTCTTGCCGAAAGGAATGCACGTCAACATCCAGGTTTTATACCCCACACCAGCTGAGCGGGAGAGGATGCTCCCCCTCACCGGCGCCGGCCACGGCCTCAGTGCTGATCTGAACGCTTTTGTTGATGCGATCTTGACAGTAGTGTTTGACCACGCACGTGCGCAGAGGAGTGGCCCGGGGAGGGGGGGGAGGAACGTGGTGTTTAGCAGTTACAATGCTAGCGTTTGCACGGCGCTGAACTGGAAGCAGCCGAACTTTCCGGTGTTTTTGTGTAACGATTTGGGGAAGGGGGGGGATGGGGAGGAGGGACAGGGGGTTAGTGTCAAGGATGCGGTGAGGACGGCGCAGAGTAACAACTTGATGGGGTTGGTCTGTTGTGAGAGGTTGTTGGTATGTATCCCCCGCCCCAAGATGATGATGATGAAAGATGTTGACGGTTGGTGATAGGACATGGTGCCTGCGCTCGTGGATGCGGTTAAAAGTCATGGGCTGGCGTTGGTGGTGGATAAATCTGCTGCTGCTGCGAGTGATAGCACCACACCCCCTACAGCAACGGGAGGGGATATCTTTGGTGTTGTTGCCGATCCGTTTCCGAGGTTGCCAAAGGGGGTGGATGGGGTGTTGAAACGGGATGGGATCTTGAAGTTTTGTGAGTCGATTGATGTTTGATTTTGAGGTCGTCGTTTTCACACTCTCGTTGGTAACGAATGTTCTTTTGGAGGTATTATTATGCAAGATGTAGAAGGGCTATATTTTCCATTGTAGATATAACTTGCGGTTGTAATTACATCCTACTCAAACTTCTTGGATCGAATCTGGGCTTCACTTTTGACGCCACTCGGCTGTTCAGCTCGCGGCAAATCAATTACTTTGCAATATTCACAAAATCACACACCCGTGTATTTCAGCCCCCCTACCTAAACCCACTCAACCGACCCTCACTCTTCCTCTTCTTCTTCTTCTTAAACGGGCTCAAACTCTCCCTCACCCTCCCCGCCGCTCCCGCACCAAAACTCTGCCGTCCCCCAAACAACCCCGGCAAAACCTGACTCATCGTCGGCGGTACCTGCTGCCGACTAGGCGTCTGGCAACTCCCCCCACTCACCCCCACCCCCTGCTGGCTTGAACTCTCCCTCCCACCACCACCACCCATCCTGTACTCCCTCCTCAGCGGACTCGTCGGCCTCACCACCCCCTTCCTCGTCGGGCTCCTCAAAAACGCCGCCGGCGACCCCGGCACAACAACCCCCTGACTAAACACCAGCTGACTGCTAGGTTGAATACCCGGCAGCAACTGCTGACTAGCCGATTCCTCCAAAACGGAAGACTCCTCCCCGAAATATCTCTGAGATAACCTCTCTACCCGCTGCCGTCTGGCCATCATCTTCTTCAAGCGTTTATCCTTTCTCTTTTCGGCTTCTATATCTTCCTTATCCTTCCCAAGGTGCCAGCTTATGTTGTCCGGGTCGCCGCCCACTTCCCAGGGGGAGATGTCAACCGACAATTCGCCCTTGCGGCTGGACGAGGTGGGGATGGAGCCGTATTTCCTCAGGCGGAGCGCGACGACGTCTTCTTGTGGCTGTTCATCTTCGGGGTCGGCTGATTGGGAGGGTAGGCGGGATGGTTTGGATGGGCTGGAGGGGGTGGGGGGGAAGGAGGGGGAGGGGAGGGTTGGTTGGGAGGAGGAGTAGAATGAGAAGGATTGGGATTGGGATTGGGATTGGCTGTCGTTGGGGGTTATTAGTGTGCTGCCCCACGACGGAGGGACGGCCGAGACGGAAATGTTGGAGAGGAACATCTCGGCGGCCATCTTTTGCAGGATGTGGGTCCGGCGGTTCTTGACTGTTGCCGGCGCTCGTTTGCGAGGCTTGGGGAACAGCTCGCCCAAGTTCTGGGCCATGTCGTCCGGGTTGAAGCCGGCGATCGGACGGCTTGCTTCGGGAGGATAGAGCCATTCTTCCTCTTCCTGATCGTCTTGCAGTTCTGGTTGTATGTCTGCCCATGTGCGGGCAAGAGTGATGAGTCCATCGTCTGATTGCTGATGGCTGGGCTTTGCCAACTCAAGACTGGAAACAGTTAGCAGGTGGACATGTTCATATGCAACCAGAAAAGAACCTACACGCTGTGTCTAGGCATATACCCATCCTCCTTCTCCTTCTCCACAGCCTCTCGAAGGAACCTGAGATCCTGACCAGTAGCCGGCTCAATCTTCTCAAGATGAAGCGTCCGGTTCCGCCATTCACTAGGATCCATACCCAAACGCAGCCCAACAAGGCTGCAATCGTTGAGCTTCAGCCTCTTGGGTTTCTCATCCCCCGAGTCTGGCTCTTCAATCTTGCGTTTGCCAAGGACAGTGAGCTCATCAAACCCATCTGGAACAACAAGCCTCTTGTGCAGATGTTCCAGTAGCTCCTTCTCGGCATCTCTGCTCTTATCGCCCCTGTCCAAAATCTCTGGGGCAGGCATCTCGGCGCCTTCATCATCCGACCACACACAAAGCGCGCTGCTAACCTCCATGTCTTGACTGAGAGTCAAAAACTGAAAGAACCTCATGGACGCATCCCTCAGCCGTTTGCCAGAAGGCGTGATAGTATCCCTCTTCCCCAGCTTGCGTTTAACAGGAAGCATGCCAAGGCCAACGAAATTCGAACGGCTCTTCAACGAGACGACCTCACGATGGTACCTAGTCGTCGTGCCCGATTCCGGCAGGAGAAACCAGAAAATGTTCATCTCCGTGTCCTGCGCGGACCAAACACAAACGAAACAGGCCGAAACATCATTGACAAACGTCCCAGCCGAGACTTCGATCCGCAGAGTCGGGTCACTGCTGTCTTTTTGGTGCGGACATATCGCGAGAAAGTCGGGTTTGACTGTGCCATCAGCCCCCTTCTTGGCCGCAATCCACAGTAGACTCTTGTTCGTCAAGACAAAGAACTGTCCAGGGTCCAGTCGAGCGGGAGCAACTTCCATGACGCGCTGATGATCGATTCCAAACGATGGAAGAGCCACAGGATGTGAATTCTGCGACTCGATGTCAAACAAATGCAGAGCCTGGTCGGTGTTCAAAAGGAGAAAGGGCCGCCTTGGGTGCTCAAGCTCATCGGAGCTCGACTCATCGGCCTCGACCTCCAAGTAGACAACCCCGTGCGGCTTGTCCAAGCTTGTCGACGAGCTCGGCAATTTAGGTATGGAGCCTGCCAGCATGTTGCCGCACATCGTCAGAACTGGCGTCAAGCTTTTTGGTCGATTATCCCGGCGCCCCGTGATGTCCCATATGCTCCAGTAGCCGCACTGGTCGATAATAACAAGCTGGGGTATGTTTCGATCCGGCCCACGGATGAAGCACACATCTGTCTGTGGGCTGCCACCAGTTTGGCTTATTGGTATCGTCGCCAGGGGATTGATAAATATCTGAGAGGTAGGGCTCGATGTTGTCGCCAGGCCAGGGGTAGGCATGGGCAAGTCCCGGACTTCTGGCTCACATATCGTGGTCGAGCTTTCTTTCTGAACCAAAAGCCAGCGAATCATGTCGACGCTTTTCCCCTGCTTGTTCTTGCTGCCGCTTGCATTGATAGCAAACTTGACCAAAGAAATCGGGGTCGCATCCTGACACCACTCTCCCTCGAATCTGGCATCGGGTGCCTTGGTACGCGCCGTCACATCAGCCTCCTCCCAAACCCACTCTTCTCGAGCGAGGCTGATCAAACGAAGCACATTTCCAGAGACTCCAGACGACACAGCCATGACCGAAATCGCTGCGTCGCCATTGCGTCCGGTCCTCACATCTGCGATTTCACCAACGGAAAAGAGAGAGGTTGTCGACACAGGTGAAGCTTCGGTGCCGTCTTTGGCGCTGGCGATCTCCTCCATAAATAGACCTTCGAGCGCATCCTCGGTGATGGAAGCCTCGGGAAGAAATTCCGTCAGCCAGTTCCCTTGCGCCCTGGCAATTCTCCACGGGCCCCCCAAGTTGGACTGAGGAGCAGCAACTTTACTCGGAGGACACCACTGGCTGAAGGGCGTCACTTGCTGAAAGTTGGGAGCTGCATTCGTTAGTCAAAGCCGCAAAATTTTCTCGGGGGCCTGCCAAAACTCACCCTCATCCTCGACGCGATTCTTGCGCAGTTCACCAAAAGCACCATCCCGCTGAGCGGGCGTATAACTCAACCGTCCAACCACACCATCAGTATGGTGTCTTCGATTCGCGTTCACCCTCGACTTCCCAGCCGAGTGGCCAGTCCCGCGCTTTTCATCCATTTGGGTCTCTCGTGTCTGGAATGGCAGAGTTTGCGAGTCTCAATATCATTCTCTTGTTTTTCTGTCAACGACAAAATCCAGAAATGAAAGTACTTTTGAGATTCCAAAAAGAAAAGAGGTCACGAGCTTTTGTTCAAAGACTCGTTCAAAGACGATACAAAACAGCCAAACAAGCCAACGAGAGTCTGGATTGGGAAAGAACGGGCTGAGGGGAAAATCAAGACATCACATTAGTGAGAGTGAAAGTCGATGTCGAAGGCCAACTTTCATGCAATTCTTGCTTTCAAAGGAAGAACCCCAGTACCCAGAAATAAGTAATAAGTTTTTAGTGGGGCAAAGTCACCCACGCAGCCACTCACGGCTACGGGGCCGAGGGACATGTGGGGGCAGTCTTGGCATACATACAAAACCCGGGCTGCTGGGAGACCAACGGAAAGTCGATAAACAAATCGCCTGTCGCAAACCTGCCCGCCTTCTTCAACACCCACCATTCGCATCACAACTCCCACTCCTCGCGCAACGCCTGCCATCACCACGTTCCACACACCCCATAACAACCATCGCAAACACCACCAACAATCCAAAATGTCCTCCTTCGACCCCTCCCTCTCAACCACAACCCGCCCCTCCCCCCTCCCACCCCCCTCCACCACAACAAACCTAGCCGACTCCCTCCCCCAAATCAACTTCGACTTCGACTCCCTCCGCGACCGCATGTCAAAATTCACCCTCAAATTCGACTCCTTCATCGAGTCCGGCCGGAAACGCGTCCTCTCGGAACGCAATCAATTCCGTCTCAACGTCGCAGAGCTCCAAGAAGACCATCGAATGAAAAAAAAAGACATCGAAATCCTCCAATTGAAAACCTCCTCCTACCAGCAAACCATCGCGAAGGAAGCCGCCGAGACGAGAGAGATGCAGCAGGCTATTGCGTCGCTTACCGCGCAGAGGGACAGGCAGCTCGCGCAGCGGGATAGCTTAAGGCAGCAGATTGAGGCTGCGCAGAGGGAGATTGAGGAGAGGCTTCAAAAACAGAGGGAGCATCAGAAGAAGTTGGAGGCGCAGGCGAGGTATAACGTCCCGGAATTGGATTTTTGGGTTACAAATCTGTGTCTGAGGATTGAGGGGGCGGGGAAGGAGGACAGGCTCAAGTTTGTGTATACTCATGTGGATGAGAAGGATTGGGAGAGGGAGGCTTGGTTCGAGCTGGCGATGGGGGGGAGGGAGTATGATGTGAAGCATTGCCGGCCGAAGCTGGAGAAGGACAAGGTGGAGAGGGTGTTGGATAGGGTGAATGAGACGAGGGAGTTGGTTGGGCTGTTGAAGGGGATGAGGGAGTTGTTTGTGGAGGCTATGAAGTCTTGATTTTTGGGTCGTGTCAAAAAATGTTATGATAATCATGATGGATGGATGGTTGGGTAATGAATTGGGCAAGGTGGGTAGGGTTGGATTTTTCTGCGTCAAGATACCAATTGTTTTGTTTTACTGTCTGGAGGACGAAATATTGAATCAATACTCCATATTTGCCTCTGCATTTTCATCATAAATCTTATGCATCTTACAAGCGTTGAAAGCCGTCGCGTGAAAACTCAACCCCACCAATTAACCCCATCCCACCTCCAACCCTCACCCCTACAACGCGTCACAACTCCTCCCCATCACACTCAACCCTCATCCCTACCAAACAACCCAAACAACCACCCAGAAAATGGCAGACCGATCAGAAAAGCAAGCCGCCGCCCAACAAGCGGTCGACATTCTCCACGAGATATCCACTCTTTTGGTAAGTTTATTTTTCTTCCCCCGAGTTTTGTTTTAACTAAAACCTCCCAGAACTGCCACCTCGACCGCCGAACCCTCTCCATATGCATCTCCATGATCGAAAACGGGGTCAACCCCGAGGCGCTGGCTGCAAGTCTTTTCACCTCTTACCCCTCCAAACTCACATACACGAATACTGACAAACCAAGAACAGGAGGTAGTCAAGGAACTCAGAACAGAAGGCCAAAACGTGCGATTAGAGGCTGCTGCTCCTGCTGGGGCGAGCCGGAGGAGATGACCGAGCTTCCTGAGGGAGGGCTGTGTGTCGAGATATCAAAATAATGATAAAAGATTGTCTCCCCCCGAACATTGCCTTTTACATGTCTTTATATCAAAAACAGGGACGCAAATTTATGAACGAGCGTTGGCTCAGGTCTGGTGTGTTCGTCCCAACTTATTTGTATGTTATATGGCTGTCATTGAACCTTAAACGCTCCATCCAGCTATAGCCAATATCAAATGTGTGAAACTGTTGCAATCCCAGAATCAAGAGCGATTCACTTTTCCACGAGTTTTCAGTTTCTGAGGGCATATCTTCAGAGAGCATCACAAGATACATCGCGTTCAGGATTCCGTTCGATTCCTCGTTCCACACGTGCTTGGGCGTGTTGATGGCCATATCGATGTTTCCGAATCGAGATCCCAGCCAGAGGCGATGTGTGATACCCATGGTCTTGTTGGGTTGCTGTGGCGTTCTGATATGAAACGCTGCAGTGCAGTCTGACAACTGACTCTAATCAAACCTGCCAGTTCTCAGACTGCACAGAAAAGCCACACACTCGGAGCACTTGAACACATGAGATAATTGGACTGGACGCTCGTATTCACATTCCCTCAACGACGTGACAGGGCGGCTGACGACTGTTGACCGTTCGTTGCCCGAGATAAACCATCAAAAACTCCTTTTAGTTTCACATAATTGTCCCATAGAACCCCATCGGAACCGGTCATTAAGTTCAGCAACCCAGTGAGAGGACTCAAAAATCGTGATATTGACCGCAGATGATGACCCCGAATGCAGAAGTTTTCCCGAATGATTCTCTAACCACGAACTCCCCCAACGCACATTCCACTCACAATCCCGGTTAGTGAGTGGGTGCAGAGCGCATCGCTGGTCGACCGACCCTTGGCAATCTTTTCGGCCTAGAGTACATGTCGTGCCATGCCGTTATGCCGCCGCTGGCAACCCAAGAGATAGAGAGATGATCTGGCTTTTCGCATTTACGAGGGAGGGGCATCACCACGGCCGCCACGGCCACGACCGAATCCACCACGGCTGTGAATATTGTCAGCACAAGAGCCCTTCTTCCTGTACATCCCTCACAGAGTCCAAACTTACAACTGAGGAGCGAAGTCGCTGGGGGCACCGCCCTCCTTGCCCTCACCGGCCTCACGGCGTCTGTAGCCACCCTCACGGTCGCCACGGTCGCCACGGCCGCGGCCACCGAATCTGCCCTCACGGCGGCCCTCATCGCCGAGCATGCCGCGGGGGGGGGCGTGAGACCGCTGCTGCTTGATGTGGGTGGCAGGGACAATCTCAGCGGGGAGGTGGAGCCACTCGCGGAGGTAGTCGAGACCCTCGGGGGTGAGGGTGTAGTAGTAGTATTGCCACGAGAACTGGGTCTTGACGTAGCCGCGGGAGGTCAAAGACTGGCAAGCCTTGATGACATAGAGGTTGCGGATGCCGGTCTCGTGGGTGGACTCGTAGCTGCACAATTCAACCGTTAGCGTCCGCACTTGTCCATCAATCCGTTGTTGCAGTCGGAAAAGGTCGTGTTGGTGTTTGAGGGCTCGGTGCTGGGCGAATTTGAGGAAATCGAGTGTAGTCGTCGGTTCAAGAAGATTTTGGGAACTCGGCCCTCGCTCGTGATACGTAGAACTCGAAATTGAAGAGAATGGCCTGAGAGAAATCGGGGGTGAACGTACTCCTTGGCAGCGACCATGACGCCCTCACGAAAGAGGTACTACAACCGTTTGTTAGCTAACAGATTCATCAGGGCCCTTCGAAACCTCCGCTGTCCTCTCTCCAGCGACGAAGACATCAAAAAAAAAAAGGCCTTACCTCATGGATCGCCTTGCGATCGGCCTTGGGAATAAGCATCTTGACGAAGGGGCCGGTATCGACACAATGGGGTCTCTTGGTCTGGCGGAAGTGTCGTCGTTGGGGAGTCGAGCTGCCAAAATTCGAGGTCTCAGCGATTTGTGGGCTGCAGCGCCGAAATTCCAAGACGGTAGTAGGGCTCGGGATTAGCGGGGCTGCACAGCCACAGGTATAAAATCTTGGCGCGACCGAGAACTTGCCTCTGTGGCTGGGGGTCCCACCTTTCTCCAAGGTTCCTGGGGCCACCAGCCATCGCTATCACCTGCCGCCATCAAGGTTGCGACGACAAAGTCTACAAAGACTGTAGCTAACTTTTCGCCTACACATTCACTCTACGCGCGACTCCCAACTACCACGGCAGTGACCGGATCCCTACATCTCTGACCTCAAGTCGGCGCATATCTCAAAACCTATTCGATCTACAGCGCAACGCCACTCCTATCAACCATCACCAATCGCCGCATCAACACCCAGTCGCAAACCCAACACCACCTCAAAATGGCCTCCCCCCCCTCAAAGATCAACATCCTCATCACCTCCTTCACAGGCTCCTCCCTCCCCCCAACCCTCTCCCTCGCCCTCCCCCCCTCAACCCCCATCTCAACCCTCATCACCACCCTCGACTCCCGCCTCCCCTCCTCCTCCTCCCTCCTCTGCACCCGCCAACTCCTCCTAACAACCCTCTCCTCCACCTACCTCCCCCCCTCCTCCACCTCCCCCATCTCTTCCTTACTCTCCTCACAAAAAGATGACTTCCTCACCCTCCGCCTCTCAGCCCCCCTCTGCGGCGGCAAAGGCGGCTTCGGCTCCCAACTCCGCGCAGCAGGAGGCCGCATGTCCAAGCGCAAAAAAACCCAAGAAGACAACGGCTCCTCCCGCAACCTCGACGGCCGAAGGCTACGGACCGTCACCGAGGCGAAAGCACTCGCCGAGTACCTCGCTATCAAACCTGAGATGGACAAGAAGGAAAGGGAGGCACGCAAGAAGAGGTGGGAGCAGATTGTGGAGATGACGGAGAGAAAGCAAGAGGAGATCAAATATGGGAGTAAAAAGGTTGGGTTGGATGGGAAGTGGGTCGAGGAGAAGGAGGTGGGGGAGGAGAGGATGAGGGAGGCGGTTGCGGAGGCGATGAGGAGGGGGTTGGTGGTTGATAATCTTTTGGGGACGTCGGTGGGGAGTAGTGGTTCTGGCTCGGGTTCGGGAGAGGAGGAGGAGGAGGATAGGGAGATGGGGGATGGTAGTGAGGGGGGTGAGGAGCACAGTCAAGGGTCGAAAGAGACGACGCCGCCTTCGGAGGTTGAGCCTGAGGCTGACACGGCAAAGGTGGGGGGTAAAGGGAAGGGGAAGGAGAAGGAGGTGGTGAAGCCGGTGGAGAAACCTCAGGCGAGGACTTTTTTCGGCTTTGATGAGGATGATGAGTTTATGAGCTCTGATGAGGAGTGAACATTTGAAGTGAAAAGGGAACTGTGGAAATCGAGCGAAAATCTGTATCAATTTGTATTACTGGGACATCATGGGAGGAGGGCATTCAAAGCGTATTATTTTGGCAGCGGTTTGTACTTGGGTTTGGCGGAACGGGTTATAAGGTTCATAAACGGATTTGTGATACCAGGCTATCAGCACGTAATTTACACATCAATCTTTGTGCTTTCTTTGACTTTGGATGTCGAATGAGATACGAACTGGAAACGAATATCTTCTTGCGGGGTGCGGTCTTGGGAGCGAGATCCAATGGCGGTTGACGAAGCCCGTCATAGGTTCATGCAAGGAGGTTCGGATACCAGCCAGCCAGTACATAGCTGACAAGCACCATATTACCTTACCCATGTTCCCAAGGCGGCAATGCGGTGCGCTGTAGGAACAACCTCTCAATGTGATATTGTACAAGCACATCTACAGTCAACATACCAGACGACCAGGAGCCGAAAAGGGGGCGAACCAAAACCCACGTCTTTCTCAAAATTCTATATGCCTGACCCTCACACACACAACTCCCCTGAGTTTACTACCAATGATGGCATTTTTTCTAGTGTCACAAAAGGTAATTTTGTTTGGGGGGGCCGCCGTCGCCGTTCTCCATTAGCTCCTAGCTTCCTTTCTCTCCGTTTCTCTGCCGCAATGCTGGGCAGTAGGGTTCAATCCAACTTTCCCATTTCGAAAAGCACGCTTACTCGAGCTTGACGGGGAAGTTGCCAGCCTCTGTTGGGTATGTCAGTCATCTTTTCAAGCCAGAGAGGTGGAAATGAAACAGGAAGCTTACCTCTCTGGGCGTCCCACCGTTCATACCAACCGCTAGGGCACAGAGACCGGTAGGCGAGCCAGAACTGCGCATGCGGGTTAGTTATCAGCTGATAGGTTGATAGGGGGTAATATATAGGGGGCTACGGACCTGGCGGCAGGGAGCGAAATCCTCACCCTTGGCGAGGATGCACTTGTGGTAGTCGACGTAGTTCTGCCAGCAGTGCTTGGTCTGGTTGGTGTTGGGGAAACGGGCGTCGACACCTATAGAAGAAATCCATCATGTCAGAGGTTCTGTTTCGCGGCTCAAAATGACAATAATTTCTCCTGCTTCGTTTTCTGGCGTGGCGTCGGCTTCCACGTGGAATTGTGGTGATCCCCCTTCTCCAGCATCTGAGTTGTTGAAAGCGTCGGTGTCGGCGGCCGGTCCATGTGTCGTCGTTCCGTCATAACCATTCGTCATCGTCATCGGCCCAGCTCCCCAAGCTCAATCATCCCCATTTCAATCCAGCTCTCAATTCCATTTCCCTCGGCAACCAATTCGACACTCTCGGGCTTCAATCGGGGCAGAAAAAGAGATTTATGCATACCAGCTGTCGCGGATGTTAGCAAAGTGTCGTTGTTGTCCCAAAATCAGACCATGTTGTTTTTTTTCTCCCCCCATCCTCCTCCTCTTTTACCGCGGGAATTTACAGCTTTGCGGGCACTTCGGTAGCACATGGGAGGAACTGGACAAACGTACCGGTGACGAACTTGAAGGGCTTGGTAACGCGCTCCTCGTCAGACATTTTGGCGGTTTATTGATTTGTGGTTGTGGTTGAGGGGAGAACAACGACCGGGGGGGCGTGGGAGTTTTGGTGAGAGGGGTTTGGAAAGTACGCTGTTCGATAATGGTTCGGAGAGATGATGAGAGGTAGGTATGGATAGGAGCTCTCGGGTTGGCTGGCTTGTGCTCTTGGCTGGAGCTTTTTCGGTTCGGCTGTCCGCTGCTGCCACCGAGAGCTCTCTGATGCTTGGGCTTGTGTTCATGCAGTGCCAGTGCCAGTGCACGCACACTGATGACGGAAAGTGGGTCACTTTGACGGAGCTTCGCAGCGGTGATTGGAGGAATCGCTGCCTGAGGCACATGTTTTCTTGGTGCAGGCAGAGAGTATGGAGTACAGTGTGGGCTGATATCGCTGACGGTGACTGGCCTTGGCGGAATCAAACCCGCTTAGCTAGGTAAACCTTCCAACTTGCCGAAGCTCCCCCCCCCAGAGAATACCCGAAGAACTCCAAAAGACGTCGTCGACAGCCACACAGTCTACCCTCTCGAGGAACATCCCCACTCAGTCATTTCAAAATGTTTGCTACGCGCTCTCTGCGGATGTTCCGGGCCACCCCCCGCATGATGCGGCCCATTCCTGTGAGTGCAACGACGAGAACAGTTTTGTGTTTTTTTGATTGCGTCAGAGCTAACTGTTTGGTGTTTATAGAAGGAGGAGCAGTCTGGTATGTGAAGGCAACGGGAAGAGGACGATATCTGGGCTAGGATGACTCGACGACGCTGACACGAATTGAACCGATCTATGTAGCCCACACTGTCTCCCAGCGCCTCAGACGCCTTAAGAACATCCCCGCCGAGTTGATTCCCCTTGGTGAGCAGCCCACGATGTCTACCTTTGGTTATCCGGAACAAATACTCATACGACTACAGGTGTCGTCGTCGGCTTCGCCGTCTGCGCGGCTTGCTACTCCATCACCCGTCACTTGGTCGTTGACAAGACCATCCGTCTCAAGAGACAAAATCGCGCTGCCGACAGCCACGCCGCTGCCGGTGAGCACCACTAAGCTTAGACAAACAGCATTGGAGGTCAGAGCAGGAGGGCTCGTCTTTTCATTTTTAGACTTGGGAGGCGGCGGGGCGCCCTTTGTATATGATGGACAGGCTGGGTCGGTTTGGAGGGTGAAATCGACGTCTGATTCAAACGGGTAGCAATCCCCCTTTCTCTCAATGCGTGAAACAACAAAAGAACAACATGGCATTGCTCTCTTCCCTTTTCCCTTGAACTAACAAAAGGCCATCTTCTCCTAAACGCCGTAGCTATGCACACACTTTTTTCCCCCTTTGGGGCTGCAATATCAACATTGTTCCTCGATATCGTTGGTGATGTCATGGTGTAACCCCCTCGTGATCGTCAGTATAACTCAAACCATTTCTTCATTCTGGCTTGGGACCAGCAACATCCAGTCCCTCCAGTCCTTGCATTGGATCGTCTGCTCTGTTCTGAGCCTGCTCAGAGGCGAGCCTGTCCTCCTCACTGACGGCATTCTCGGCCAACCATCCCTCCTATTTGTCATATAATTAGCACATATTTTCTCCTCGAACATCACGAGATGGGGTCAAAACTCACCTGCTCCCAAACAGCAGTCTTACTCCCCAGCCCACCCGTCTGCGCGCTCTTTGGGATCTTGGCTGCGGAAACCTTGATAGTTCTCCCAAAGATCTCGGCTTGGTCCATGTTGTCGATTGCCTCCTTTGCGTCGGCCTCATCCTCGAATTCAACGTAGGCAAAACCACGGTGAGTTGACTGTTGTTGTTGCTGTTGTTGGGGGCCGTTGCCGAGGAAGTCATTATTGTTGGACTTGTTGTCAGCACCGTTGGGTCCGCGGCCGTCGTTTTTGGGGAGGGAGATGTCTGCTATTTCACCAAAGGGGAGGAAGGCTTCGGAGATGGTTTGCAGGGTTGCTTGGGGAGGGAGGTTGCCGACGTAGATGGTGGCTTTCCAGCGGGTTGCGTCCGACATTTTCAGGGGGTGGGAAGGGGATGTGTAAGTGGTAGTGAGTTTGAAGGAGAGCAAGAGCTGTAAGGAGTGATGGTTTGGTGGTTGAGTCTTGGATTTTGGAAGAGGTGTGTATTGAGATATGTCGTTCGGCAGGCGGGATCAATGTCGACTTGATTGCCAGATATTCCACCGGATGAATACTCGAGGGCTTTGATGTGGTGGTGAGTTGAGATGTTGGGTTGATTGATAGAGAGGCTGAAATCACGTGGAGTGAAGATTGCCTGGATGCAAGCTGCAGTGATGCCCCGCCAGAGCTTGGGGTTGCTCGTTCAGGGACTCCAAGCTCCCGTCATGGTTGGAGGCGGATGTTTGACTGGACGAGGTGTTTTGAATTTATTTTGATCTGATGATCTACTCAAACAATATTCTCTCGAGCTTTAGATTCCGTCCCTCTTTTGGCAACTTAGCTACGAGAATATGGAATCTTTGTGCCCTTGATGTACATGTGTAAGAGTGAAACAAGGGTTAGGGTAACCCCACCTTGTTGGAAGGGACAGCTGCCAAAAACTGGGGGCGGCATCACCCCCTGTGGGCGCCATACCTCGCAATGTTAGTTGGCGCCCTGGCTGCAATCTGGCAACTCGCCCAGCCAACATTCCCACCTTGAACCTCCCAAACCACCACCTCACTCTCGTCCGCCCTCACGGCCTAACAGCTCTCTGGAGAAGAGCTCCCGGTGTTTTCTATAAGCGTCTCAAGCCAATTGCCACTTTCCCGTTTTTGTTCTAATTCCATAACGATAATCACCGAGAAACCCCTCTACCGCCGTGGTCCCTACGGAGTAACACGCCGTCTACCGATTCCACCGCCCACCGACCGTCATGGTCCGCCTGAGAGAGATCCCGCGGACCGGGGCCTTTGCCTGGTCACCCGGTTCTGACGCCCTCGTCGTCACCGGCACCCGCTCCGGCGCAGTCGACGCCGACTTCTCCGACGAGACCAAGCTCGAGCTGTGGGACCTCAACCTCGATTCCCAAGAACAGGGGCTCGAGCTCCAGCCGATAGCTACCATCAGCACAGAGTCCAGGTATATACTAGATCTAGATAGCCGCACCACCATAGAGCTACCTGACCAGACAAACTGACGGGATGGCATCACAGATTCTACGATATAGCATGGGGTGCCCCAAGTGACGAGCACCCATTGGGTGTTGTTGCCGGCGCAATGGAGGATGGATCCCTGCAGCTGTGGGATGCCCAGAAGCTCAAGGACAGCGAAGATGCCCTGATTTCACGCACGACAAAGCACACCGGCCCTGTCAAATCACTCCAGTTCAACCCCCTGAGACCACACGTTCTCGCCACGGCTGGCTCAAAGGGCGAGCTCTTCATCTGGGACGTTAACGACACCTCGACCGCTTTCCGTCTTGGCACCGCCGCCGCCCAGGATATCGAGTGCGTGGCATGGAACAGGAAGGTTTCCAACATTTTGGCGGCCGGAAGTGCCGGGGGATTTGTCTCAGTATGGGATCTCAAGACGAAGAAGCTGTCCTTGACCTTGACACCCAGAGACCGCAAGCCCGTCAGTGCGATCGCTTGGGACCCGAACAACTCGACGAGCCTCCTTACCGCGACGTCCGATGACACTAGCCCAGTTATTTCTCTCTGGAATCTGAGAAACTCGCAGGTTCCCGAGAAGACCCTTCAAGGCCACGATCAGGGCATTCTGTCTCTGTCTTGGTGCCAACAGGATCCAGGCCTGTTGATTTCTTGCGGCAAGGACAACCGATCACTCGTGTGGAACCCGCAGACCGGAGAGCGGTATGGCGAGTTCCCCGAGGCCACCAACTGGGCTTTCTCGACACGTTTCAACCCAGTCAACCCCAACTTGTCCGCCATTGCGTCTTTTGATGGCAAGATCACCATCCACACTCTGCAAAACACCAACCCTTCTACGGCGCCAGTGCCCCAAAACAGCTTGGACGATGATGACTTCTTCTCCAAGGCCCCGACCCAGCTTCAGACCACCTCTTTCTCTCTCCCTAGGGCTCCCAACTGGTTTGAGCGCCCTGTCAGCGTATCCTTTGGCTACGGTGGTAAGCTTGTCATTCTCCGCAAGAACGATACGCCCGCTGGTCAGCCCAGGTCTTCCAAGATCCAGATTGTTGGGTTCTCTGTAGACTCAGACATTGGATCTGCCACCGAGAAGTTCGAGGAGGCCTTTAAGAGTGGCGATCTCGCTGGCATCTGTGAGTCGCAGATTGAGTCTGCCAAGACGGAGGAGGAGAAGGCCGAATGGCAGGTGTTGAAGACCCTGAGCGCTTCAGATGGCCGTACCAAGATTGTAGAGTATCTTGGCTACTCCAAGGAAGAAGAGGAGGAGTCCAACGGGGCTGAAGAATCCGAGACTGCCGAGACCACCGAGGCCAAGGAGGAAACAGAAGAGACCGGCCTGGCTCCTCCCCAAGCCAATGGCGACGGCAAGAGGAAGCACAAGCGTGTGACGAGCATGTGGGGTGATGTAGATGATGGCGAGGACTTCTTGTCCGATTTGCCTGCCACCAAGGGCGCCAGAACCGACAACCCGTTCCACCTCCTGAGCGAGGGCAACACCCACCTCGAGGACAAGATTACCAAGGCCATTATCCTGGGCAAGTTCGAAAAGGCCGTCAACATCTGCTTGAAGGAGAACAGGATCGCCGATGCCTTCATTCTTGCTAACTGCGGTGGAAAGGATCTCGTCGACAAGGTCCAAACCGCTTACCTCGCGCAGAAGAAGGGTGCCCCCAGCTATCTCCGCGTGATCAACTCGATCATTGGAAAGAACCTTTGGGATGTCGTCTACAATGCCGACCTCGCCAACTGGAAGGAGACTATGGTTACTCTCTGCACCTTTGCTGATCCCTCCGAATTCCCTGATCTCTGCGAAGCACTTGGAGATCGCATCTACGAGTCCGGGTCGCGAAACGATGCTTCTTTCTGCTACCTTGTCGGCTCCAAGCTGGAGAAGGTGGTGGACATCTGGATCGCTCAGCTCAAGGAGGCCGAGGAGGCTGGACTGAAGGAGTCCACTAATGATTCGACTTTCTCGGTCCACGCCAGATCGCTGCAGCAGTTTATCGAGAAGGTTACCGTGTTCCGTGCGGTGACCAAGTTCACCGATGAGGAGAAGAACCTCACCGGCGGCTGGAAGCTCGAGGCTCTGTACAACAAGTATACAGAGTATGCTGATATTGCCGCTGCCCATGGCCAGCTGGCGATCGCTCAAAAGTACCTCGACCTCCTCCCCAACGAGTTCCCTGCTGCCGAGGTTGCGAGAAACCGTGTCAAGCTTGCCACTCAGAAGGCTGCTCCCCAGCCTGCTGCCGCTGCTACTCGGGCTCCTGCCTCTCGCGCGGCTTCTCGCGCCCCTGCGCCTCTGGGTTATCAACAGGCCGCCCCCGTTGCCCCTGTTGCCGCCACACCCGCCAATCCATATGCTCCTCCTGTTCAGGCTCAGCAGCGCGCTCCCGTTCAGAACCCATATGGGCCTACGACTACATCTCAGTACGCCCCTCCAGGTGCCTCCCCATACGCTCCTCAAGGTCAGGGATACGCGCCTTCTCCTCCTGTAGGCGGTGGGTATGCACCTCCCGTTCAGTCTTTCACCTCGGCTGGCCCCCCACCTAGAAATACTGGGCCACCGCCCCAGATCAAGAAGGACGTTGGTGCTTGGAATGATCTCCCAGAGTCTATGGCGGCGAAGAAGCCTCCTCCTCGGAGGTCTACCCCAAGTGTCGCCCCGATTACCTCACCCTATGGTGGCCCCGCGGGTTTGACCAGCCCTCCCCCAGTTGGCCCCTATCAGCGAGGAGCACCAACACCACCACCTCCTCCTCCCAAGGGCCCTGCACCCCCTCGCAACACGGCTTCTCCTTTGACTGGGCCCCCGCAGGTTGGCCAACAGCTGCCGTATAGACCCGGGTCGGCCTCTTCCCATGCTTCCACCAACCCGTACGCGCCTCCACAACCCCAGGTGGCACCTCCGCTGCCATCACCCATGGCTGTTCCCCGGACAGCATCGCCATACAACCCACCTCCCGCTGGTGCCCCTGCCCCGAGCAGATACGCCCCGGCACCAGCGCCGCAAACCTATAGCCAGCCCCCGACGTCCACCCCACTTGCTCCTCCCCCGTCCAACCCGTACGCCCCTGCGCCCGTTGCGCACCAGTCGGCACCACCCGTCGGCCAGTACGCACCTCCTCCTCCCCAGGGCGGCCGGCCACCAGTGGGGCCTCCACCCAGCGCCGGTCCTCCCCGTGCTCCCGTAGGACCCCCACCAGCTGGCGGACCGCCCCGTGCTTCTCCTGCCCCGGCTGCGGCTGCCCCTCCACCGCCAGCGGCGGCCAAGCCCAGACATCCCGCCGGTGACCGGTCTCACATCCCTCCCAGTGCTCAGCAGCTGGTGGAAATCTTTAGCCAGGACATGCAGAGAGTAGCAGCCAAGGCTCCCGCTTCGTTCGCGCCGCAGGTCAAGGACACGCAGAAGCGTCTGGGTCTTCTCTTTGACCATCTCAACAATGAGGAGCTCGTCCAGCCAGACACGATTGCGCAGCTGGCTCAGTTGGCGGATGCTCTTGCCAGCAAGAACTACGACGTCGCGAGCAAGATCCAGGTGGACATTCAAAGGGAGAAGACTGAGCAGTGCGGACAGTGGATGGTAAGTTGTTCTTTTGATTGATGGTGACTATAAAGTTGATTGCTGACTGAGTGTTGCAGGTTGGTGTGAAGCGGTTGATCAGCATGAGCAAGGCGACTCCTTGAGCGGTTGATGGTTGGTAATTTTGCAGGAATGGAAAAGCAGGAGCGGGTGGTTTTGTGCTTGGTAGTGTTGGTAGTAGTACAATATAGCTTGTTGTTATGTGTTGGAGTGAATTTTCATCTTTTTATCTTAGGACTTAATGAATGAATCACAGTCTTCAAGTTTTGAGCGGTTGTCTGGCAGCTGTTTTGCTGCTTGTAAACTGTGCAAGTGTGTGCGTGGCAACTGCTCTATCCCGAAACCTGACCCCGCAATTATTAGCAACGTGAGCCACTCACTCACTCACACACCCGCTTTCGACGGTTCTTACACCTTCCATGTCAACAACATTGACTTGATTACAACCTCAACCACACCAACATCTATCTCACTTTTACTTTTTCACCTTTTTAGTTTATTTCATCACGAGTGACAAGAAGGAAAGGAGGGAAGGAAAAATGTCCCACCACTGCCACGACGAACACCACGACCACTCTCATGGCGGGGAGGGAGAACATGACCACAGCGACGACATCACGCCCGCGCTGCAGTTTTCGCTGTACCAGCACATTGACTTTGACGGGGTGGCGACGCTGAACGAGGCTACTTATGGGTCAGGGAAGGAGGTGCTGAAGAAGACGTGGGCGGAGAGGTTGAGGGTTGAGCCTGAGGTTGAGAGCGATGGGGATGAGCAGTTGTTGGTGAATGTGCCGTACGTATTCCTACTGTTTTTTTTTTCTCCTGTTTGGGTATAAGAAAGAAGTGAAAACTGTAGGGCTTTGGAAGTTGGCTGATTTTGGGAGGGAAGATTTACCGGACAGGTCAAGCTGCATAGTATCTTGTTGAGGACATCAGACAGTGATTCTGCGCCAAAGACGATGAAAGTTATCATCAACAGGGATGATGTCGATTTTGATGTTGCTGAGAGCGCAACCGCGACGCAGGAGTTTGAGTTAGCCCGGACGGGGGAGGTGCAGGAGGTTGCGGTGGTGAGGTCCCCCTTCACTTCATACAAAATAAAATGCTGAGAGACTAAAAAAAAAAAAAAATTAAAAAAAAAAGAGAAGAGCCCGCTTCAACGCCGTCCGCCGCCTGTCCCTCTTCTTCCCCGACAACTTTGGCGACGGGGACGAGGACGTCACGAGGATATCGTACATTGGTTTCAAGGGGGAGTGGATGCAGCTGGGACGAGCACCGGCAAACATCCTGTACGAGGCGGCGGCGAACCCGAGTGATCACAAGGTTAAGGGGGTGGGGGTTAACCAGATGGGAAGTGACATTCAGTAGTAAGAGTCAATTCATGAATAAAATAGGGGGTTGATTTGTTAGAGACAAAAAAAACACTACATGAAATCATCCTCCCAATCTGACCCCCTGTCCTGGTTGCTGGACTGGGCCAGGTTCTCCTCGGTGAAGATGTCGTCGTAGGCGTGGTCCTTTTGGTATTTCTTCTCCTGGCGCTCTTTGGCGATACGGGCTTCTTCTTTTTTCTGTTTTTATTTTTTTTCCACACACACGTCAATTAACCAAGTTAAAAGAGATAGAAACGGGAGGGATGACTAACCCTCGCCAGAAAAGCACTATGATCCCTCTTCCTCAGCTCTTTGAGTCTATCCTCCTTCTCCTGCCTCAAGTCAGGGTGCTTCTCCACCTTGGTCTTGTTGAGCCTGTTCACGATGGGGTTCTCCCTTTGGGGGATCAGGATCCGCTTGACTTTCTTCTGGTCCTTGAACGAGACCTGGCCGACGGCCATGGAGCCGTCCTTTTTCAGGTTGGACCAGGGGGTGTAGATGATGGTGATGTTGTCCTTTTTGTTGCCCTCGATCGAGTTAGCCTTTGTCAGCTGGCCGAGGTCGGTGAGGAGGGGGTCGGGGATGGCGTCCCAGGTTTGGCCTTCGGGGAGGCGGAGGTAGATGTGGGCTGAGGAGAGCTTGTCTACGTGGAACTGCCTCGAGCGTTAGCGAGGGGATAGGCATGAGTGACGAAGGGGTGTGGTACGTACCCTGAAGAAGAGAAGAGTATGAGGGTGAGTTCTGTAGGTAGGTAGAGGAGGTCTTGGCTGGGACCGGGAACGGTAGGTGAGACAGGCTTACCAGACATCTTCCTCCCAGCCGTGCTTGATCAGCTCTTCGTCTGTGAGATGTTAGTTTCCGTTCTTCGAACATGGACTTGAACTAACACACTCACTCTCAAACTTGTCCTTGCCGACATAAATGTACGCCGGCGGGTCAACCACGGTCGAGGTGAAATAGTAGACCATTTTGACTCGATTTGCAGAAGATGACCTAAAGAGTGTATGATATACCTGCGGCTGTAAGATCTCTGCTCGCCCTGCTGCTCAGCGTTGCTCCAAAGAGAAGTGAAGAGGGAGCTCGAGAACCTCTGCAACCCAAAACCAATCAATGAATGAGAGGACCAAGTGCAGGCAGGCCACTTCAGCCTTGAAAGGGTTAGGGTTAAGGCTTATCATGCCCAATCCCCGGTAGGGGCAGATCGGTTTATCGGAGCCCGAATCCCAGTCCAGTTCGAGCTTCCCAAATTTCTCTGCTGCCGCCGCGGCCGATCGACCTTGAACCCGCGACACCTCGCCGTCGTCGCCGCCTTTTTTTCTCACCAGGGGTTCGACGCCATAACCCCAATGCCATAACCCGACGACAAGCACACCGAGAGAACCAATTGACCAACCCCTCGAGGGTGCATCACACAGCAACAAAAATGGCCCCCCGACTGGCGCCAGCAGGCGCAGGACTCACCCTCCGACTACCCCTCCGAACAACCTCCCCGGCCTCCCTCCTCCGAACAACGCAATTCCACACTTCCACCCCCCAATCCGTAAAACTCGGCTGGTCCACCCTCCCCTCCCGCGCCAAACCAACCCGCTTCAACCAAGTCACCTCGGGCCTCCCCGCCCCCACCGCCGGCCCAGCCGCCGCCCTCAAGCGAAAAGCCCAGTCCACGCCCGTCCGCGCCGGCGTGCTGGCCATAAAGAAGGGCATGACCGCCTTCATGGGCCTGACCGGCACACGCATCCCCTGCACCGTCCTCCAGCTCGACCGCGTCCAGACCGTCCTCAACAAAACAAGAAAAGACCACGGGTACTGGGCCGTGCAAGTCGGTTTCGGGGAACGTGACCCGAAAAACATTGGCGCGCCGATGCTGGGGTACTACGAAGCAAAGGGCATCGCGCCCAAGGAACAACTCGCGGAATTCAAGGTCAGGGATGAGAAGGGGTTGCTGCCGGTCGGTGTGCAGCTCATGCCGGACTGGTTCTACATCGGGCAGAGGGTTGACGTGAGGAGTAACTCCCGGGGTATGGGTTTTGCGGGTGGCATGAAGAGACATGGGTTTTCGGGGCAGGAGGCGTCGCATGGTAATTCGAAAAACCATCGGACTATTGGTTCTGCTGGTCCTTCGCAGGGTAGCGGCAGCAGAGTGCTGCCGGGGAAGAAGATGCCCGGACGGATGGGGAACCAGAGGGTTACGGTGCAGAACCTGCCGATCCTCCTGATTGATAACGATCTTGGGATCGTGGTTGTCAAGGGGGCTGTGGCGGGGCCGAAGGGGTGCGTGGTCAAGATTCAGGATGCGTGCAAGAAGCCGCCGCCGCCAGAGGAGCACATTGAGAAGACGATGAGGGCTTTGAAGGAGAGGTTTCCCAACGCGGAGGAGCATTTGCAGCAGGCGAGGGAGAGGCATCTCGAGCTGAAGAGGGCCAGACGGGAAAAGAGGATAGAGGAGATTTTGACTGGGGGGTGGGAGCCGACGAGGGAGCAGGCCGAGATGATGGAGCGGGCGGCTGCTGAGGATGGGCATGAGAGTTTGGGTGGGGAGCAGCAGCAGCAGCAGCAGCGGGCTACGTTGTAAAGGCGGGGGGGGGGGGGAGAGAGAGAGGCCTTTGGTGTTTTTGTTTGATTATTTTTGAAATGTATGATATTTACACTAAATGTACAAGTACTGGGATGTGTGAGAGTGTGCCTCTTTCACTGATGTCATCTGACTACTTCCTGAACCCCCTCTTGGCAGCAAAGCTATCACCCTCATCATCATCCAGTTCAATCCCCAGCTGATCAGCCCCCGTCATGACCTTGAAGGGATCCTCGGCTCCGTCCAGCAGGTCAATCTTCTTTCCCCCATCCATCTCCAAGCTCCACTCTGTCGTCTCAAACACGCCCCTTGGCGACGGCCTGAACGAGGCAAACCGCATGACGCCCTCCCCCTTTGTGCCCTTCACCCTGAACGTAATATCGATCCTGCCCTGGACCTGGTTGAGAGTGCCAGAGATCCAGGGGATCTGCTGCGCAAAGTAGATGTTGTCGCCGAGGTGCTCGCGGCCGACGTCCGAGGTGCGGAGGGCGTAGAGGGTGGCGCCGACCACGGGGGAGGAGAACTTTTGGTAGTTGAAGATGGCGACCGAGGCGACGCCCACACAGAGGGCGAAGAGGGGGAGGGTTTTCATCCATTTGGAGGAGGGAAGGGCTGAATTCACACGTTAGACTTGGAAAGAGGGAAGTGGGAATGCTATGGGGGTTACACACGGGGAAGCTCTCTGTCTGCTCTGCGCTCCATGAGGGGGCCGTCGCCTCGTTTGGGGGCTGGTATTAAGGTTCGTTTTTGTATTTGCTGCCTGAGGGGTTGTGTCCGCTGTGATATTTGGGAGGGTATCCGCCTGAAGAGGGCCGCCCTTTGTGTTAACCTTGACAGCAGCATGTTGGGAGTCGTTGTGGTTTTGCGACGGGGGTATCCGTAGAGGTTCGTTGATTCTAGCTCAAGCAAGCAAGGCAGCCCACTTTGGAGAGCTCGTTCGAGGGCTTGGCGGGAAGCTTGGTAGTCATGGATTGATGCATATTATTGGGTTATGCGAGAAAGGATATGGGGTGCATAATCGCTTTAACCGAGAGTTTCTTTCAACTACACTCACACTTCATACTTCATTTCATGGCTGAATAGCCTCGGATGGTTTTCCTTTGTTTGAACACCCCGCAGATTTGATCAGCCACCATGGCGGGACAGTTTACCGTGTCTAGGGAACCCTCCGACCGGCAAGATAAAAAAAAACATCCGAGAAATAGTAACGTTGGAATGCCATAGCAGCGGCACAGCGAGCGTTGTTGGGACGAAAACGAGAATTACAGTTGGAGCCGGTGATGTATGTTGCGTAACAGAGTAGGTATGAGCTAAGTCTTCGGACTGGAATCGGCTTAGAAGGATGACCTGGCAACCAGGATGGAACGGTTTTCTTAGTAGATCTCACAAATCTACTCATCAGGGGCTGTGGAAATGCCTACCATGAGAGACCAATGAAGAAGCATATTCATTCATTCATCTACCATCACATCCCCGTCGTCTCGCTCGTCCGCCACACGGACAAAAACTCGGTGTATACGTCATCCAGGATTTCTCACTGAATCCTTCATCCCAGCTTACACGACTACCCTCTTCACAAAAGCCCAAGCAGTTATCCTGGACAAGTCCCGCAATACGAACCACCGAAACAGTAGATAGACTTGGTCCAGTCCACCACCGCCCGGACTAACACAGACAAAAACAATACAACCACTCACACTCTATTGTTTGTTTTCCCCCCATCTCCCAGCCCGCAAAACCCCGTCTAGAACC